AGCAATTCATTTATAGTAGAAAAGATTTACACTGCATGTGAATATTTGCATTTTTCAACTTGTGCCTTATTTTTTATTAGTCAAAGAAATAAAAAAGTAGAACTGTTTTAGGCTTTTTGATCACTGCCTGTAAAAGCTCCTACATTATCTGGTCTAGTGACTATACTTTAAGCAAAGATGAAAAAAATTACATCAGTCTCACTGGGTGGCGTGCATGCCATTTTCTCTAGTCAACACTGTGGGTGGCCTGCTCATGTTAAAAGTAGTCTTTGTGAAATAATTGTTATATCTAAATAATGTTTAAACTTCGTTGAAATTTTGAGGCCCTGATGTAAAAAATGCTTTGTGAGGATTGCTGTTCCTACTACATACTATTTAGCGTAAAATACTTTAATCTGTTAAGGAGAAATACACAATGAAACAGCTAGCTGGACATTTAAATGCAGAACATAGATAAAGTTAGATTTTCTTTTTCTTGAGGTTATAATAGATGCTTGCTTCATAAATCCTTCTAGTAAACAAAATTTGTTTTGTTTGAATTAAGATGTTTCTTGTCCATTCTTATAACAGCCAAATAACAAGCATTGTGCTAGTTTTGGCAATTACAGTTATATTCACAAAGCATTTTTCTTTACTCATTACAAAACAATGCTTTTCAAAGTGCAATTGAGAACTGCAGAAACTGCACAGTGCTATCCATCTTTAGTTTAAGCAAAACATGTCTTCATTTTCTTAAGACAATTTGCTCTGGATTTGTCTGCTCTGTACGAATTTTCTTTTTATTTTATAATAAAATCCTAATTATCCAACAGTTGTCTTCATAGAGCCTGACAGAAATGCCTGATAAGGCAGAGAATTAGATTGACCTCTTCTAAGACACAGTCCTTTGTGAAATTAATTATACTAAGGCATAAATACGTACATTATATATATATATATCTGCTTAATATCTTATTTAAGACATTGAATTGCACATCCAAACACTTATAATTACACCTACATGATCAAATTCTGCATCTACTGTCCTGTGCAGCTTCATACCAACAATTTGGCAAACTATCTTAATACATTCAGACTCCCTGATCAGGCTCACAAAATACGTCTCCCAAAATTTGCACCTAAATAAAACTCGAGATTGATTAAGGATTGGGGAGTTTTTAAAAACAGGTCCTTTGACTCATATATTACAGAAGCACTTGAAAGTCAGTTCTTCATAGAACAGTAACTAAGGCCACTTCTGAATGGCCAGAAAAGAAACAAGGCTTTCATCCTAAACTACTTTGCATAATATTGTTTACTCTTTTTAAATCCCTGTATTCCTACCCTCTGCCTCCCACCAGTCATGACTTGCAAAGTACCAGGAGGAAAAGGAGCCAATTCTTTTTGCAGCCGAGCTAAACCTAATACCACTTGAAGTGGCTGGCACAGGTTCCTCTAAAGGGCCAGCTTGCAAAGGACGATCCCAATTGTTTGCACGTAGATTTCAGCCAGCATTTACAGGTAGGTCTGTCTCATACTTACCTGTAAAAGAGAAAGTCATGACCCTGCAAGATTTGACCATTTTCCTCATTTATGCTAAAATCCTTTGCATATTTTTGTCAAAGGGAAAGTGCTCTCCAAAGGATCTGTGCTTGGTGCACGGCATGGCACTGATACAGAGCCCTGGGGACTGCATCTACAGAAGCCATTGTTGCCTTTTTTTCCCTACCTTATTTGTATCAAGCAGATTTTGGCACACAAGCCACTCAAATAGTAAATATACCTATGTCAAGTTTTGCATCCCAGGCTACACAGGATGTTCAAAATTACCCCTTTGCTGTTAACATTAACGTATTATTATGAGCAAAACTAAGGCTGTGCACAAAACAAACAAACAAAAAAAAAGACCCTGTTTTCCTTCTGTTCCACACGTGCACAGTCACTGCTTTATTCACGCAGGAGAACAAAACCAGCATGCTCCCATGCCACCTTCCCTTTTTCATAAAACACACTCAGACTTTCCAACACAGAGTCGGCGATCTGGATGTCAGTCCTGCTTATTGATACAGCACTAAGGGAAACATCCCTTCCTCTGTGAAAAAAATCACAATGAAACAAAGTAAAATTATCTTGGCAAAATTCCCAGAATTAAAAAAGTAACTTTTTGATCTGAAGAAACACATACCAAGCTGCAGTAAGTTCCAGTGATCTTTCTCAGCAAAACCCTACAACTAATACCTTCTTTTCTGTGTATCGAGAACTTTTTGAAATTTCTAAAAGAATATTAATTCCAAATAGTCTGAATGACAGCACATCAAAAAACATGAAAAATATCCCACAGTAGACCTTGTTATTCCAAGGCTTGTATTTTCCTCCTCTGCTAAAAGTATTTTCAATCTTGGTATTTAGCTTTGATTTGAATTTTTAATTTAGATATAGCTTCCACAGCAATGTCTATTTATGTCTTTTGTTTCCTTTGTACACTTAAAATTGAGATGCCTCCAAAATTCATTTAAATTAAAGTCTGGAGGTTTCCTTTACTTTGTTTTTTATTCTTTGTAATCACAAACTCCATCCTTTGTCCACTGAAATTCAGGGCAAAAGTTGCCACTTCCTCAGAAGTTGTAGTTTCACACCCTAAAACCACTACCATCAAAAGGGAAATGGCAAAAGAGAGTGCCCTGTTTTCTGCTTTCTACCATATTCCAAGCAATATATTAAAACTTGTTATAAAGCCCAAAGTCCATAAATAGTTGCTGGTAGACAGACAAAACTTACTGTTCAGGACATTCTCCAGTTTTTGCGTCATGGATCCTTCTACTTTTTCCGTTCCATCCGCTTCCAGTTTTTGATGGATTGCTGGAATAAAGTGTCTAGTTAAAATGCAGAACATTTTAATAGGCGGGAATACATTACAACAAAGTGACATTTTTAAACATTATTTTTTCAAAATTAAAGTGTTATTTTTCTTGTTAGACATAAAAAATACAAACATGTTTCATGGCAGCACAGTCTAGAGCAGTACAGGGCTGAGAACCAAGCACTGCAGAATTTTAACCATTACTTTAACACAGATTTCCTCTACATAAAACCCTTAAAAAAAAAATAAAAGCTGGTAGGAATAATCCTGACTAGCTATCTTGCAGTATGAGTATTCTTTCTATTTAGTGTTTTGAAAACTAAGCATCATTCAAATACAAAATATTTTTGCTTTGCAGGGCAAAACCAGCCTTTCCTACTGATCTCACAGAAAAAATATTGTTAATAATTAAAGGATAGAGAGAGAGAGTCATAGCGGATCCAAATCACCTCAAAATCAAGTGTCAGAAAGCTCCCCAAATAAGTTGTTTACATCCGTAAGAAAGCAATCACACAGCACTTACGTAATTTCAGCGTACCTTGCAGCAACAGCCGGCACTAACCACTACACAAGAGCACTGTGGTGCTTTCGCTGAAAACCACATGAAAATGATGGAGGTGCTTTGTTTTGAGAAGATGCTATTTTTTCCTGTCCTAAAATGCCCAGAACCCCAAAAGTTAGTTTCCACAGCGTACTACTAACAGGTTTGGAAAAAAATAGTACCAGCATTAATTTGTTGTTTTCATCATAATTTCTTTGAAAGGAAGGGACAGGTTTACCAGCAGACACTGACTCCTCTATACCACTCTGGAAATACGGGTAGCAAATGGAGTGTAAATATTGCTTTCTTCTACTTCCTGTCTCTTATTCAGTCTCCTCTTCCTCTTCCTCTCCGTTGAGCTTTTTAACAATTATTAGTAATCTTGCACACATGCACCCTACATATATAATTATTTTTAAAATCATATGATTTTCCTTTAAAATTTTTAACTTATTAACAATTTTCTCTATCAAGTAGTCATAGGCTCCTCCCGATTAAAAAAAAAAAAAAAGACTTCAGCTGAGAAGTCTTCTATAAAATTACTACTCCTTCCCACCAGTTCTCAGAAGAATTAAGCTACCCACGAAGACGCTGGTGCTCTGTGCTTTTAAACAAGTGAATAACAATACCTTTTAGTTTGGAACACTCTGAGCCTTCTTTAAATGAGCCTCCCAACTACCTTGCTTCCGTTTGCACAACAGAGCAGTCCGGGGGTGCTTGAGCCGGATTCTTTTAAGATGAAACCAACTTAAAAGTGCACCCACGAGCCTAGTCAAGGTGCTCCCACAGATCCCTGGCATTCTGTCCACAGGGTGATACTCAAGCTAGTCTGAAAAAGCACTCTGGGGGCCCAATAATGTGCACGTCAGGTTCTCAGCACCAGCCGTCTTCCCCTACAAAACTACTCCTACTTGTCCATGCTACCTAGATGCTATGCAGAAACACTGCCAGATGGTAATCAATTGAATCAAAACATATTCAAATCATGTTCTTAAGTGTATTTTCCAAAAAAAATACTTTCTGCTTGGCTGTGGATAAAAAATAAGATATTTATTGTCTCAAAGATTTTTAAAATGCAATACTTGGAAAGTGTTAATTACGCAGCATTAATTGATGACCAAATAATTTAAATATTACTGATGAAAGGGACATGACTTCAAATTTCCACAATTTAACTACAACATCTAAACCTCCATCAGAAAGAGTTTTTATTGTAAGATACATAAAAAATATGATCAAGATTCCCTTTAATGAACAGAACAGTAAGTTCTGAAAACCTGTGACTTAACATGTTACCAATTTAACTAACAATAAGCCACGGACAGTAATTCCTTTATTTTGAAAACAGCTTAGTCAGAAATTGTATCATGATCAGACGACCTGAATTTCTTCTGGGGAAACCCAGGAAAAGTTATCATATTAAGCCAGTGCACAGGTATTCCAGCGGAGAACAGGATGTCAACAAGGAGAAAAATATTTCATCTTTTTCCCCCCCCCCCCAACAAAGTATTAACTAAGTATTAATAATTCTAGGAGGAAGGAAAGCATTTGTGGTATAAATAAAGGCATCTTAAACATATGTAACAGGTAAAGCAGAAGGGATTTTATTCAACCATTGTCTTAGTTAAGCTCTCTTAGGACTTAGTAAAGAAGTGTAGACCTATCCTAATTACTCTCGGTACACGAGGGCACTTGTTGAATTCCTTACTACGTATTTAACACGCCGCTGGCTTTCTTCATGTACGGAGGATGTTTCCACCCATTAAATTCAGATATAGCAAGAAGGCCTCCATATGTATGCCATAGTTGTGCTACAAAAGAAAGTTTGCAGAGTGAAAAATACTATGAAAAATGCTTTACTAGAAAGTCTAAACTTTGTTTGTGTTAAGTAATTTTTAGAAAGATAAGTAAATGTTCCTTCCATGGGGAACCCTCTGACTTACAAGTTTAAACAAGCAAAACTGTAGGCAGTCAAGAAAAAATATCTGTTGACCTAATATCTGGTGGGAAGGAATTTAGAGATAGTCGTGTTATTCTTTCATCTTGGACCAATATCATGTAATGGTGGACGGTTGTAGTTTGGGATGATTCCCCTTTTTATCATTATTTCCCACCGGCACGCTTCCTTTTGCTGGATCTAGCAATCACAGCAACGCAGGGCAAAGCTGTGAGCTGATGAGGTGGAAAACTAATTCAGCAAAAGAAAAGGGTTTTGACCCATCAGTGAGCCTGCCTAAAGCAAGCCAGAGCTGCACCACTGCAATGCAAGGGAAGAGGAGGGAGCACATGGAGAGGCCAGGTGGAAAGCAAGCCCGCACCTCTGCCTGCAGCCAGTAGTTAGATTAACTCCAACTGCAGCTTCATACTGCAGCCAGCAACAAGTTGAGGGTAAGAGCAGCAAGGAACAAGTTTTAGGGTTCCCCCTGAAGGCCTCAAAAAGAGGGGCATGGGCAGCATTTTATGTTTGAACTGTGAGTCACCTGGATTTACTCAATACGAACTATGCAAGTTGGAACAGCAGCTGAGGTCGCTTCTCAGCATTTCCAAATCCAGCAGTGCTCATTTATAATTACAAGAAGTTTTATAGTAAGAAGCACACAGTAAATAAGGTGAGGATATTCTGGGGCTGCCCACTTAGACGACGTGCAGAAACAGACCAGCCTTTTGTACTACCCTTGCCAAAAGATGTTCCAGTTTCCCAGCTAAGTCAGAGTATTTGAGGCTTGCAAACTTCACAGCTTCAGTGAAGCAGTAACTTTTAATAGGAAGAGACTAAGCACAGAGCTCACAAGCTCTAAACTGTGACCCAATACTTCCGTTTTGTCAAAACAAAAGCAGTAGTTTAATCTGGCAAATAAACCAAAATATAGGCCCATAGTAAAATAAACTGCAATTAAATTGATTGCTGTTTGTGTAGAAAACAATTTGATTTCTTCTAAGGAAGGATAGGGTTTGCTACTTGGCAGCTGTAAATCTGTAACAAATTAAACCACGCTTGTCAGGGTCATGCAATTTTTGACTTGCAAATTTAATTTTTTATTTACTCATTAGATTTTTATGTAGATGTATTTTGAGATAAGCACCAAGGAGTGGTATTCTCAAAACTTCCTATGCCTAACTCAAAGCAAAACAAACTCAAAGCAAAATACATGCAAGTATTCAACTATTTTCTAATGAGAAGAGGGACAGACATGCAGTTTAGCATATCTGTAAATCTTATCCATATGCACAGAAATATTATTGAAGAGAAAAAGTAACCAAAATATATCAAACCTTTTTAATCAGATGCAGAAAACAAGAGAAAAAAACGACAAAAAGGAAAGACTGATTCAGCAAAGTAGGTCTGAAGCTGTTAATATGGTAACCATAAAGAACTTGGCACTCAAGCATAGTAATGGAAGGAAGGACATGTTGTATATTTGTGTATACGTGTGTGTGTGTATATAGATATATATACACATACATATCACACATCTTATCTTGCTTTCAGGATAGCAGGAAATGCATGAATGCAAATGCCTTTGTTTTCCTTGTGAATATATATATACACACACACACACACACATATATATATATATATGACCATATTTTTTTCCTCTAATTTGAAGAGAACTTTCCTGAATTTGAGAAAGCACAATGCTGTGAGGGGAAGGTTTTATGGAAATATGGAAATAGGAAGCCAAACATCATAGTCTAACAAAATTGTGAGGTCTTAAAAAACTTTGCTCTCATAAAGCACTGAATGCTTCATGAGACATTTCTAGGGAAATGTATACCATTTCAAGGGAAACATTTCAGCAACAGGTAATAAAGATAGTGGGTCTCCTTACAGCTCCACTAAAAATTCCATGTTTGGACTATGGAGAAAACAAACAAACAAAGAAACCAACAAACAAAACTTTGAGCCTTTTGTCAATCAGGGCAAGCTAAGTTTTACTTATTCACAGTTGCACTAGAGTAACGAATGGTCTCCCATGGGACCTGATCACGGGCACTGCACGAAGAGGAAGCCTCTCCTTGAGCGCGTCCTACCTAGCACCAAGCTACATCCTTCACTGGCATGTTACTTCCATATCACACCACCTCTCTTTCAACACATATTGCGCAGAGCAAACTCTTTTCTCCTTGTCATCTAGTAGCACAATACCAGAAGCTAAGTTTTAAGCGGCAAACTAGAATCGGCACGGCTAGTCTTTCGTCCCTTTGTGTCCCTTAGCCTCTCTCTATAATACAGCACAAAGATATCTTGAGCCTTCAAGACACGAGCATCCACTTGGAAAGCTAGACAGTGAGCACAGAGCATATTCCAACATGACTGCTTAATTCATGAAGTGAGGTAAGCTGCCTTGCTTCTGCTCTGGGGCACATGCCTGCATACCAACGGTTACCTTCAGGTGGCTAACATGCTGTAAAACAAATGTCAGGTACATGCTGTATCCTGATATCTTGGAGCAACTTGTTCCCATGCCCCTTTGCATCTGACCTCTCTGAATTACCATAATGAAAATTTCTAGTAATAAGAGTGCACTGTTTTTTACCTCGAGACAACTATTTTCTGCTGCTTGAAGCAGGATGAGAAAGACAACAGTAATGGACTCACACCACTGAGAACACTCAACAAAGAACTACGCCAGTTATTTCAAGTCAACTGCATAACATGTAAGTAGTAATCATATACCAGAATTTGATTTACTCAAATCCATATGCTCAATGAAAACTCATACTATTTAGGAAAACATATTTGAGACTGTAGAGTAAGGGAAAAATGAAATGAGCAATAAAATGTAAATTGCATATATTAAAAACCAAAACCATGACAAGAAGAAAAGCTGCCGTAACACTCTGACACCTTGGTACCCTGCAAAAGTGGTCATGGATTAGCATTTCATTGGACAAGCAGGCAAAAGATAAGAGACAGTGACCTGAGAGAAGCGTAATAATGCCAAAAAAAAAAAAAGACTTTAAAATTAGTTATTTGCCACCTGATAATTTATTTGCAAATGGAATCACCAACTAAAAATTAATTAGGTGCATTGGCTTTCAATTCAAACATAACTTATTGTTCCTCTCTGTAGTCCGGAGTTCAAAAAAACATTAAGTCTAACCAATAACTGTTTTTAAAGTACACTTAAGAAACAGAAGCAAAGGAACATTTATATGACAAGCCAACATCAGCTTTTAGTTTCCCAAATTCCCAACGTGACTCAGAATTGAACAAAGATGCAGCAGTTTCTTCTGTTTTAGTTTCACAGAAAATGCATTAAACAGACATAAAGACAGCACAGGCTGTTTACGCACACTGACCCAGACGCTGGATCAGGGACATGCTCACCCCAGAAGCGGCCTTAGGGGATGGCATGCAGAAATACTCTGCAGGAAGAGGCCACATCCACTGGCAGACAGAGGATCACTCCACTCTGTTGAGCATCATCCCACCTTAGGCAAGATAGAGAAGAAAAGGCCAAGTATGGTCAAAGTTCTCCACCAGACTGGCTATCACCCAGGCCATACGGCCTTCCAAGTGGAAATAAGAAGAAGAACAGAGCTGTGACACAGCTAGCAGTCCTATTTCCTATCTGAAAATCATTTAAAAGGCACTAATTACACTGCACCAGAAGAACTGTTGACATGATAAACCAGAGCATCAAATATAAACCTCAAATTTGTTCAAAATATCATTTCGAAAAACAATGCAGTCTCTTCTTTCCTGTCCAACACTATTCTCAAAGACCAGCGTGTTTCCACGTAATTGGACAAGTGAAGTGGCCATTTCCCTATTTTTCATTTTACTTAATTAAAAGGAAACTCTGCAGCCTAACACTTCAAAAACAATTAGATTCACAAAGTGTGCAGCAAAAGTACTGCAAAAGAAATAGTATAAGTATTCTCAAAATAAATTCATTTCCTAGCTCTCCAAAGACACCTGGGTGGGCCATCATTTGCTCATGACAGTAAAACATTACATCTCTGCCATCACATAAACAGCAGCCCTTTGAGGAATGCCACTTTCTAGGTTGCCACTAGAACTATGGGAAATGAATCAGCTGAAGTGCCTGATGTTGACAAGTGGGTCAAGTTGAGGTGAGCCCCGTTCCCCCGGGCTCAGCTTACAGCTCCCTTTGGCTGACGAAACAAACTTCCTGTTGAACATCTCCTCGGCAAAGTCACCGCCAAAACTGTCAGCCGAGCTAACAGACACAGAGACATGAGGATCTGATAAGGCAATTCTATTTTCCAGGAAATTAAACCAAGCAGCAAGGGTTCTGGCCTATCTGACCTTTTATTTTCTTAGTAAACACTTTCTAAATCACATAATACAATAAGCATCTTGGTATTGCTTTTTATGGTTTTAGTCGCTTACTTGTGAAAAGATGGTAACTAATTTAAACGGGTGATACAGTTCGATAGCAGACACAAAATAAGACTGATCTTACTGATCCCAGCTAATGAGAAAATCTATACCAAAATGAGCAATTAAGGGTTTCCCAGATCGAGTTCATCTGGGAAAAAAAAATGAAAAAAAAATTAAATATGAGTTAAAAAAGCAGGTACACATACAAGTTAAAGAAATAGCTATGAAGTACATGGTAATGGATCATACTTAAAATGAACTACAAAGAAAAAATGAAATACAAAGAAAAAGAAAACATCCTCCACCAACTAGACTTTGCACCACTGATCACAACTCTGAGCTCTACAATTCAGTCCTCAATCCATAAATTTTATGCAAGTATGAATAAAATCTCAGTCTACACATTTAGCCACACTTCCTGAGCGTACCTGTAAGGATGCTTTGGCAGACAACGTCAAAAGTCTTTAATCTTTCTAAAAAGCCACAGCATTTATGTTTTGAATTAATTTACTGTAAGTCCTACTAAACCTTTATTAACTCAAAAAATAACCTTACAAGACGACACATATGTCCGCCAGCAATACTTTTTATCTATAACAGTAACAATGGGGGAATAGAACTATGAAACTTTGTGACTACTTAATTGCTCTACCTGCAAAACAGATTTGGATGTGATAAAGAAGTCACATTTTCAATATTTGTTCAGAAGGATTGAGGATTTCAAGATTTTGAGGACATTTAAGATTTTTAAGGAAAAATAGCCTCTCATTCTGCATTCTTGGAATGCAATAAAAACTCAGTTAAAAAAGTCAAAGAATATCAGATAATGATTCTTCAAAGCATCTTTTCATATGACCAAAAGCATTTTCTTCAATATTTCCACTAAGTCTTTCAATCATTTTCTTTTGGTATTGAAGTCCTATTCAGATTTACGTGAAGGTTTTGAAAATTGATCAGCATGAGGTCAATGTTGGGTGAAGAAATTAAGCTCAAAATCCAGTTACTTTCTGGGATGAACTTCACATTTTTATGGAAAATAAATTCTCTAAACTAAAAATCAGTGAAGTAGGCAGGCAAAATCACTTGCAAATGCTGTAGAGAGCAGGTCTCAGGCTAATCTGCCTGAAGCAGCACGTGAGACAACACTGCTTTCTCTTCTCCCTGCGCCATGGAAAGGACTAGCAATGCTTAGTGACTGGCCTGTAAATGGCTCTACAGCCAACTGTCCTTTGAGTCACCCAGGAGCAGCCCTTGGTGCCACCTGGCTGAGGCTGTAAGCAGATACATTATTTTACTCTGTGGCCCCCATAAGCCAATCAGTGATGAGGAGCGGTTATCCTACAACACAGCACAGTTATGGAGTACAGCACCGAAGTACAGGTCAAAGCCCAGAACGGTCTGGAAATTCTAGGAATGGCCCAGAACAGTCACTTCCTTATCTAGCACAGTCTCTAAACCCTGCTGGCCCATGACGAGCTTTTACCTGAGGAACATTTTATGTTTTGAGTATATTTATAAATGGTGCAGACAAACTATGATCTCGCTACAGACTGTGTTTGCATGTTCCCTTCGGCCAGCAGGACACAAGAATCCGTCCGATTTTCTACGTTAAGAGAGTAGTGAATATACATATGAATATTACAGACTGATTACAGGACACAGAAATTCTTGTGTCACTATGGTTTGTAAATCATCTTGATATCATCTCCAATTCCACATTTCCTCCCCTTTCTGGATTTGTGGATGATATAATTTCATTCAATTCCCGTCACATATTTTTGGTGCGATCTCCTGCCATATCACAACAATCAGCTAGCCAGATTCAGCTTGTGACCAACCTAATATGGATTTCTTCCAAAAAACATTATAATGAACAATAGGATATTTTAAATATTGCAGTCAACCACACATGCAGATAACATTTATTCTTTTATACTGTATTTAAGATGTTCACTTTACCTGACAAGGCATCTTGTGCTTCAAAAAATGTGCTGAGCCCTCCTTTCACATAAGCTAGACTCCCCTCATTTTTCTTATTGGCTTGCTTCTTCAAATTCACAACTGCCATTTTGAGCTGATCAAAACTGAAAATAAACAACAAAAAAAATCACTGACATTCTTACAATGAATAGGGTCAAATAATGAATAAACAGAACCCAGTACTTCCAAAATAGTGCCTATTACCGTCACGGAAACTACTAAAGTGAGAGAGATTGTTATCTAGTTTGCTCCCTAATAATGACGATTTTCTCTTAGTACTACATGTCTAGACAACTAGTTTTGCGGGTTTCTTTTAGTCCTACACAGCGAGTTTCCATGACTTTTGTTGGAAAACACTTTGTCAAAGTTTAAAATCAAATAAGAAATTCCTTCTACATACATAGTAACTATTTGTACTACATTAAATAGACAATGCTAAATCACTACATTTAGTATACTAGATTAAACAAATGTCAGTATTAGAGAGATCTCTACTATTCTAATATTTAACTCTTCAGTTTAGTTCACAATCCTTTTTCACTTTCGGTTTCTGAATTCCTTCACTATTTCTACATTAATTTGGCCCAAGTTTCAGAATTAAACAGAGTATTACAGCAAAACAAAGAGAAGCTGAACAGATTCCTACTTTATGAAAGTCTGTCTTTTCATATGCAATTCATTGGATTTTTTTACTTTTGAAAATTCATGCCCAACTTACCATTGTTATGTCTATGGAAGGTTTCTTTCTATGTTAGTTTCCTAACTAGTTTTCTAGATCACTGACAACTTATATTTGATCTCATATCTTTTATTTTGGCAATCAGCTGCAATTATTTTAAAAGTGATTTGATAACTGCATTAATGACTGACTCTTTACTTGCATAGCTTTTTTTTTTTTTTTGACAGTGATTAATTAGCTGTGTTACTGGCTCCACTGTAAAATCATCATTGTAAAGCAGCTCAGAAATATAACACATGATTTTTATCCTTAGGAAAGTCCCTTTTCCTACCTGCAGGCCACCCTCCCTCCCCGTAGTGGAGAAAAAATCAAATTAAAAAAGTTTTTTTTTTTTTTTTTAAAGATCAGGACGCAAGATGGCTATCACCACCTGCTGGGAGGCAGGAATAGAGGTGCCCTTAGAGACAGCTTTCTTCTTACAGATATGATGCCACAAATTTTTATTTTATTTCCTGTCTTGATCTGTTGGTCAAGAATCACATTATTTACTGGCTGGATTGGCCTACTTGCATGTACAAGAAAGACTTACCAGCAGCACTTTCAAACTAACAAAAATCTGCACTGTTCTCCATTTAAGTGGTTTCATTTTATCTGATGAACTAATAGTATGCCTAAATAGTTTATTTATACTTGTCATGCTTATGTCAGGACAAAAAAAAAAGACATTATTTTGATTGCTTAAAAAGAATTTCCTTCAAGGAAAAAACATACATAAGCTAAGCAAAACACCAGTGCACCACATATTTAGCACTCCTAATACCTGAGGTTACACAGAGGACAAGAACTGAATAGTTGTTATGTTTCCGGAAAAAGAACTCAAATGATATGGCCAAGATAATGGACAATTAATAGCAATTCTAGAATATTTCTAAAACTAAACATTTCCAAGTAGAAAAAAAGAATCTTTTCTTTTTTCAAAACTATTTTTAATCGGATCTCAACATTATCAGATTCATCCTATTCTTTGAGCCATTCTTGTCTTTGATAGTTTTACACACTTTTGAACCTTCAGTGCTTTCCGGTTTATGATTTTCTAAACCAATATGAACATGCAGAAATTTTCCATTCAAAATACAGAAATCAGCTTTTCTTATTCCACTGAACTGAGGGGACCATGACTGCAATCTGCTGATGTGCAGAGACATAAACTAATGGAACTTTTCCAGGAACAGAAAGAGTGAGAGCTGATACTAGAAGAAAAACATTACATGTGTATCCTCTTAATAGGAAGCTTCAAATGTACCTAAGAATTGACTTTCAGACACTGATCTAATGTCACAGTACTGGCATAGTATATGTTTAAATGGGTCCATACAAGCTAATACAGGTACTTAGACTGTCAATTCCACAGTAGCACTGATGACCAGTGTTTTTACTGCTACCTTGTTTTATTTAAGAATAAATCATTGTTGTTCATATTCCACTGTAATTTGGATAAACCAGAGTTGTCAGTTTTAAGAAGTTATTTAACTTGCTTTTAGATCCAAGGCACTGTCAAACATATCCAAGTCATCTGGATACCTGTCTCAAGAGCCGCCATGACTTCCAGAACCTTTCCTCAAGCAGGGCAGCCAGAACCGGGCAGAACACTTCAACTGCAGCTTTAACAACATCAAGCAAAATAATTATCCCCCTATCTACATAACACAGTCCCAGTGATACACCCTAGAAGATGATTTGCACTAGACTGCCAACTGAAATTTATGGCATGTCACAAACCTGATCCTCCTCTGTACTACTGTTGCCTAATCCAGGGTCTATATTCTGATACTTGCCTTCCCCACTCCCCTTGTGACACTGCAGTCAGTGCCATGGCTGCCACTGATCATCACATCCCTGATCTTAGTTTTGAGAAGCAGACGGGTTCCTAAAGCTGTTGGAAGAAGACTACATCCACTTTCTCTTCTCACTGCAATGTCATCCTTTTGGGCCTCTTCTGATTCTGACTCACGAGCTCCCAACCATCCTGCTACCCATTCCATAAGACAGCTCCAGCTTCACAGCTGCTCCTCCCTCTCTTCTCCCTGCTCGTCCTTCCCAAGATCCTGTTCATCGCTGAATTCCAGCACACCTACCACTTCCCTATTTATTCTAATTCCACATGCACAGTGGATTTCCTATATACTGCCCTTACCATGCAGGCTGCGTGCCTGAGTGCACAAGTGCATGAGGTGGACCCACTTTTGACTGTTTCATTTTTTTTTTTTTCCTAAGGGCTCTCTTCATCCCATTGCAGCATCATATACATAGTGCTCTGGGCTCTGCTGTTTTCTTGACTTATTCTACATGTCTCTTGGCAGTGTCACTGCTGCCCTCACAAAACACACAGTGATTGAGGCTGGAAGGGATCTTTGGAGATCATCTAGCCCACCTCCCCTGCTCCAGCAGGGACACCTACAGCAAGTGGCACAAGGTGGCATCCAGTTAGGTTTGGTCGATCTCCAGAGAAGGAGACTCCACAACCTCTCTGGTGCCAGGGCTCTGCCACCATCACAGTCAAGAATTTTTTCCTCAAATTCAGGCAGAACTTCCTGTGTTTCACCCTTTTGTCCTATCAGTGGCCACCCCTACACACAAGAGTAACAAACAGATAATGGTCCAAGAGGCCAACTTAGAACAAACTTCTTAAAAACAGAAAGTGGCCTTTCTCACTTTATCATCTTTTAGACTTTCAAAAAACCTATTGATTCCAAAGTAGTTTTCAGCTTATATAAAGAATAATTTTTAAACACTTCTCTTCCAGTTTCTTTATTTCAGCAGATGTTGTCAGTATGTTTGTATTAGGCAATAACATTCATTTGCTGTTGTTCTTGTTCCTCAATCCACCACCACTTTGGCAGTAAAACAAAGTATTTCCCAGATTAAGAGTTAGGTTCTGGAGTTCTCTTTCTTTAAAAAGGGCTATTTCTACTATTAGATAATTGAAAAAAAAATAAACTGGCAAAAGAGTATTTCTCATCAAATTCTTATCAGAATCTCCAGCCAAAAGAAGCCAAAAGAAGGCTTATTCTCTCCTCTAAAATGATGTCAAGTACTATCTATCACAAACATGTAGAAGTTTCGGAACTGAGCGTGCTCAGTTACACAATTAACAGCCAACTGTTACCCATTAACAGTTTCACTCTTGGTCTGTTCAGTCCGTTTCCTGGGGCTACAGCCATGACTTGGGTTAACAACTGGAGCACCTACTCAAGGCCATGCTGCCTAACCCCTTAGACTACGCAGAACTTAAGCCTAAAGTGACACAAGTGTCTCCTCACACAGAAAAACAGATTACTACAATGTCAAGCATCACTGACACCTCATATAATGAAAATTCACATATATTTGATGTTATTAAAACTACTTATATGTTATAATAGTAACAAACCTGGTTGTTGAATGATTCTCAATCAGGTACCAAGCAGCAGAAAAGTTTTCGCTAGTGAAATCAGCACTCATCCCAGGAAACAGTGCCTCTAAATCTTTCTGAGGAAATCTGCTTCTGAAAAACAAACATTCATTTCTTCAGTGGAGCACATTCTAGTAAACAGGTTACAACTGAAAGTTTTACATAGCACAACAGCTCATGTTCCAACAAATTGTGGATATAAACTTGTTATGAAACTAAATCTGGTATTACAGACACACCTTGTGTAACTGGAAAAGAAATCTAATATAAATAAAAATAAATTTATCATTTTAATTACATAATAAATTATTACACAGTGAAGTAAATAATAAAATGATAAAACACGCTAGCACTAATTTTCAGTTAACAATATCACTGTGAATGTTTCCATAAAAGTTAACTTCTCTCTCAATAATTTTTACATAGTTCGAAGTGTAAAACTTCAGCTTAATAATACTCCATCACAAGACATATACAGATAGCTCTTTCTTTGAAATATTTCATTATTAAATACACAGCCTTAAAAAACCAAGACACTTAAATTTTACTAGTGATTAATGCATTAACTGAACAACTAAGAGACTGGCTTGCAAAAACACTCAGTTTCTTATTTCTGTTGCTCACAAGACATGAGTTGTAAAGTTCCTACAGCTGATCCCATACGAACGAGAACAAACCGCTCCTGCTTTAAGCCTTTGTTGCTACATCCCTCATTTAGCTTCATGCTGCTAGGAGCTCTCACAGGGTCTGCTCCTATTCACAGTGGTAACTAGGGAAATACTGCCCTATAGCTCTTCTGCATTCTATGTACTTACACAGAGCTCAGGTAACTACAAGTACACGCTACATAAGCTACCTCTTGCTACAACATTTCTCATGCATAAAGAAGATTTAAAAAAAAAAAACTGCACACTGCTATTTTAAAACAGAAATTCTATCTTACTTCCCCAGCAGTACTGAAAATTCTTATTTAAAATCAAAATGTTAAGAACTGATCTTTATATCTTTACAAAAAGGAAGTGCCATGACTTCTACTTTTAAGCCCGAACAGCCCTCAGAATCTCTTACGCTTGGAATCGACAAGAGCTTCAGAGCTCCCTGTGGGTGTGACAGATCCCCAGTGCGCCCCAGTGCCATTTCACTTAAAGCACCTGCTCATTTCATCAGCACAGCAGATGTGCTTGGAATACTCTATTCCAAAGAAATAACATGGAGGACTAAAAAAATATAAATACATTACAAAACAGGCCAAAACAAGTCTAAATGATTTGTTTTGATACTTCTTTGTTTGATGGCCTTTGATTATTTGGGACTTTATGAACTTGTTGTGCTGTCTTCAGAAAATGGGACTAAGCAAAATCATTACGATAACATTTATATTCAAAATTCAGGGGCACTAACACTGAATACACTCAATCTTTACCCTTTAAAAAGGAAATCAGCACATCAAGCCAAGTAAGTGAGAATACTTTCTAATCCTTGATTCGGCATCAGTCCAACTTTAAGAACACAGGACATCATCAGCGTGACAATTTTAGGTGACCTTGTTCCACTGTCACTTTATTGCTTCCCCTGTAGCAGAAGTCCTGCAGGCACATGCAGGAGGACACGCAGACCACACTTCCATTATGGAAATCCCAAGTTAAAAACCATTTTCCTGCAAAACAGGATACACTGACCTGTCTGCCGACAGTGAAACACAAGGGAAAAGTGGGCATATCCCAAGTGAGAGCCAGCAGGCTCTGCTTATTTTTATTCAATCTGTCACTGCATAAAGGCAGTATGTGAGGGATTTGCTTGGGCAAGCAGATTCTATGCAACAGCATTCTTTAAAACTAAAAAGTATTTTCTAACATCCCCGTACAAAAAAAAAAAAAATTATTCCATTTATTTCAAGTCAATGGACGAAAAACAGTTAATCCTCTTTTTAAAGAAGACATGACAGCGCTCTTCCCTCAGTGCAGACAAGCACTTCACACTTGGCCATATTCATTCTGCCACCTTCTCCCGTGCATGGCCAGGTGCAGTCACCACTCAGGTCTCCAGCCCCAGCTGAATCCCATTTTCAGAAACTAATCTCGATGAATTTAAGAAATAGATTATTATTTTTTTATTTTTGGACCACAAAGTCAGACTAAGAACTAAAATGCTCTCTCTGATGCTTACAAACTATGCTGCTACACAAAATACATTATAGAGACACAAATACGCAGTACCAAGCATTTAAGATCAAACTGGAGGGGAAAAAAAAAAAAAAGAAAAAGGGACAATAAAAGGCAACCCAGAAACAACTGAGTCAATATTTATTCCATAAATATATTTAAAATCATATTTAATATGTATAAAAAGTCATTTGAAGAGACTTAAAAGTCATAATTTTTGGCTTTTTTTTAAATCTAAACATGATTCAAGGTAGCTGTTTCTATTCTACATTTTTCAATTACAAGTTGAAAAGCAAAGAGCAGATTAAATGAAAAAAGCTTAAGGCAGGCATTTTTTTTAAAAAAAGAAAGAAGCACTTATACAAAAACAAAAGTTTCCCTCCATAAAATTCTGTTCATATTCAAAGGACCATTAGGACAAGCAGGTACAAAGGACCTAATGACACGGTACAGAAGCCTCTCAGCAGTAGCACTGGATTACAACAGGGGTATATAGCAATACTTTTTAAAAAACAGAAAAAAAATCCACAACGAATCAAATGTGATGCAAGGGGAAGTGATAACAGATATGAGAAGGAGAGAAACAAGGAAAATAGGGCAAAAAACAAATGTAACAGTTAGCAATTGCTAACTGTTTATTTCTCTATGCTTGATGAAAAAAAGAGTGATAACGCAACACGAAAATTTATAAACATCAGTAAGTCACAAAGGTTCTAGTGACCTTGAATTTTATGAACGCTGGCTAGTGAGCAGAAAATGCTGACAACTATAAGAGCATACATGCAGACTAATTTTCTCTCTCTTTAAAGAGATTTTAAAGTAATATCTTGTTCTTTACAAGTATTCTAAAACGTCAAGTATGCATAAAGGATTTACTAGACAGTATCTCATGTATGATACATACCATGAGTGAGTGCCCAGAAATATTTATATTAAACTCATGTGCCACAATAAATACATTAATTAATTAAAAAACAAGTAACAGAATTGATTCCGATTTGTCAGAATTTTAGTATCTTTTATCAGTTAGATAAATAAGTCCTTCGAAGGTCTTACAGAGAAAACTGACTTACAGTTTACTCATAAGCAGGCACACATGTGATTTTGGAAAGCATTTCTGTTTTCTTCATTTGAATATTCTAGGCTGAGGATGCACTAGCAGTAGCAGCAGAGATCACACTCGCACACAATGAAGTTGTTGACCACCACCCTTCTGTCGCTTTGCTAGTTATGTAAGAGTAGTCACGTACCACCAGAAGTAACTCTTCAAATCCTGTCTTTGATTAAAAATCATCACTGTAAAGGAAACTGGGAACCAGAAATGCAATTCGGAAAACCTCAGAGAAAGAGACAAGCTAAGCATCTTATACTAGTATATCTAATATAATCGTGCAGTATTACAATGCTGTCACAAAGGTACTCACATAAAGGGCATGCACATCCACTTTAGATCCATTTAGTTCTAATGGATCATTCACTGGGCCACATGTGACCCAAGATGATCCAAACTTAGCTGGGCCAAGTCCTTCTTGCACCATTCTAGCATCCCCTACTTTAAAGTCAATATAACCTAGCACTCAACAATTGTAACTTAACATTACAACATATATCAACGATTACAAATTCAACTATAAGACCTTGTGTATACACAGAGTATTTACATCTGCCAGGGGTCTAAAATTAGCCTATGATCTCTGTGAGTAAAAAAAAAGTCTACAGTAACAGAATAGAGTGGATTCTACTGAACAGAGCTTGGCTATGAAAGCAACTTAGGATTATTCCCCTTAAATTTCAGAATCCCAGAGTATGATTTCCAGCATACGTGACAGTATTTACAGATCAAACTCAGGTCTCAAAACTGGATACAGCTACCAAAAGGTAACTTGAACCTCAATTCCACAGGAGTTTACAGGTCAAAAGGAGCAGCTTTAAATAAACACGGATTCTGACTGGCAAGCAGCATAAACAAGCGAGAACTGGAGTTGCTGCACACTCTGCCTCTGTCTGGTACCAGTCAGGCTCAGAAGCAGCCTTTGTACCAGCTGTACTTTGTTAATCGGGCATGCAAGCAGCCCAGCAGAAAGGACATTGGAATAGACTAAACAAGGCAAACCAGAAGGTATTAACACAGCTCTCTGCAACAGCAGTGACGAGGATGCACGCTGGAAAGTAGCACTGGGTGAATAAGAAACATGTCAGTAAAATGATTAACCATCATTGGGATAAATGGGAAAATGTGATAGGAAAAATATAAGTAGAAATAGAAACAGAGGTTGTAGTGAGATAGGGGTTGATCTCTTCCCAGAACAACTACAGACAGGACGAGAGGAAACGGCCTCAAGTTGTACCAGGGGAGGTTCAGGTTAGACATTAGGATGGATGAATTTCTACACAGAAAGAGTGCTGAAGCACTGGAATAGGCTGCCCAGAGAGGTGGTGGAGTCACTGTCCCCGGCAGTGTTCAAAAAAATGCAGATGAGGCACTTAGGGACATGGTTTAGCAGGGCTGGTTTTGAGGGGCTTATGGTTGGATTCGATGATCTTGAAGGTCTTTTCCAACCATAACGATTCTATGATTCTAAGTAGGGGGCTGAACTGATGCATTAGCCTTACAAGCAGTGAGTGCCAACAAATTTTTAAGCAGAAGCATTAATATATTTTAATTCTAATACTGGGGCACAGATGCTGGATCTCTCTATTGCAGGTTTCACCATTTTTTCTGTGGTATCCCTACGATACAAGTTTCCATGAAGAAACACAAAGCTCCCGGGGCCCTGCGAGCCCTCCCTCAGGGCAGCAAGGGCCGGACACCGTTAGGTGGCAGTGCGAGACCAGCGCGTGCAGCCGTCCGGGCGCTGGCGTGGGAAGGGGGCAGCATCTGTGCTGAGTGGGTGGATGTGGAAGCGCGCGGAACGCGCCTCGCATGGCAGCAGCGTGCGCGAGGCCGACCGCCGCAGCGAGCCCTGCCTCCCGCAAAGCAGCAAGCGCCGGCCGCAGCCTTCTCGCCACCACTGGGTCGGCCACTGTCACTGCTCTGCACAGAACAGATTTTCCCCGCGTGACACAGTACAGAGGGGAGGCAGCGCAGACTCGATGTAAATGCTGACTTGTGTGGGAGGCACAAAGTGCATGTGGAACATCTGATCAAGTAATTGATTCACAAGTTTTAGGAGGATCTAAACTTTCAGGAATAGATTTTGGCCAGTGCTCTCACAGAACAACATTTTTCTCTCCTGGACTTTTCAAAACTCCAGTCACTGCATCACCCGCCAACCTGTTCCTGTAGCAATTCTAAAAAATGTCAAAATAAACAAGAGTTTCACAACATTCCTATTTGGTGGCCATTTGGAAATCCTTTTCCCCCTGCAAGCTATATAAGCCTCCTGCAGTGGTTTCTGACAATATCTCTATAATACCCCAGTCAGGAACATTGCTTTTCTTTCCCCCTTCATCCTAGTTGAAGAGGGGATGACACTGGACACTGGACTTTGCTTTGCACTTCAGGACGTTATAAAGATGACACAAGAAAATTAAAACTGTCTGTATTCTATCCTGAAAATAAACTCAAAAAGATCACATAATTTCTTTTTTTTGTTTTGTTTAAAGGAAATATTTCACAGTACACAGACAAGATGCACTAAGTTTTAACAGTGTAAAATTTTGATCTAATGGGAAGCAGTTCTGTTTTGAACTATGAACACAACCACAAGCAGGACAGAAAACCAACATTTTTAAACATTCTTTTACGAACATATGTGACCTTATAATGCTTTAATAATGATTCTTAGCTAAAAGGTACTAAGATCATTACAGAATGATTGATTCTTTTATTTTTTTTCAATTGGGACACTCAAAACAAAAGATGTGCAAAACAAAATACAAAAATAGCAATTAAGCCTTGAAAATTATGAAAAACTTATCAGGCAGCAGTTATAAATAGATATTACTTGTTAAACAACCAGGGTGAAAAGCAATGGCTTGCACACTATGTACATCTGTAACACTTAACTAGTCTTGACTCAATAATGAGCATATCAGGAGGAGCAGTGGTTATCTGAAGTCCATATTTTTACACCCTTGCAACATCTGAATACGAAAATAAAATTCTATATGCATATTTTGAGTACATATACTACTATAACTGTAGTAGTTTTAACTACAGTTACTACTATAATAAGCCAAAACTACATATGGTATTCAATAATTCCAATGCATCAAACTCACTGTTATTTATTTACCTTAATTCACAGCCCAAAGGCTTCATTCACTTGACACAGTTATTCCTAAATAAACTCCAATCTTGCATCTACTGAGTCAGGATAAATAAAATTTATTCTGAATGAATGCCAATGGTTTAATGAAATATTTTACTAACGTATTTCAATTCATTATGGAAAGGGTTTGGTTTAAATGTCCCACTTGCAACATCTTGCACCTGATTGATTCACAATCTGTGATTAATTTTTAAGTGTGTTTTAAGTGGACAAAATACCATATGCAATTAGATACCCAACAAATGCAACTTTTTAGAACTAAGAATAACCTGTATTAAAAAGAAAAACATACCACAAAGGAGAGGTGAACTTAACCCTTTCCCATGCTCCAGACTGTATTTTTGGTATCATCCATTGATGTCCAACAACCGCTTTCTAGAAGGATGACTTTTTCCTCTCCTTTGTCTACCCATTTCCTGTTTTCTCCACAGTGTGCTCCCCTCTAGCTTTTCCTCATCCTGACTCCTACTTTCCCAAATCTATATTTCTCTCTGATTTTCATCCCAGTCCTTTCCACACTATCCCTCTTTAGTGTCCCACTGTTAGCCTGTGCTCCAGGGAAAGTTGTTTTTTGCTCAGCAGCCGCAAGACTGCTGCAAGGCAGGCTGTAGACGTTGGAAATCCCACCAGGGCAGATTGGTGCCACAGACTGATACTCATTTCTATAGCTTCAGAAGTAAAATACGTCCCATCACAACTATTCTTTATTGCATGATGTTTTCTATTAGTTTAAAAGATCCCTGAATTTCAGCAACTTTTATCACTTTGACTGAGAAGTTATTACAGTACTTAGTAACGGTTAATACTTGCTTGTATGCTCCCCTTCTTAATTTATAAATGCCATTTTTCTTCATTAAGGAGTTCTAAATATTTCTGACTTCCTTTCTATGTCTTTTGCACACAAAGTCTGAATTCATTAACAGGCTACTTGCTCACTTAAAGGTAAAGCTTTTAAAAGATAACCTTGCTGGTTTCCTATTTAACAAAACATCCAAACAGGTGCCGTCAGATTAAAATAATCTGTAATGCTTAATCTATTGAATGCAAACTGCCTCTACTGTAAGAACTATTAGTTTTGACACTGAGATCTTACATTAAAAGTTCTATTAAAATAAGACCAATTTAAAAGTAACTGTGCCATAGACAGCGTATTTACCAAAAAAGTCTTGCGAGAAACACAGATGTCTGATGCAATTGAAGTGGTTATTCTGATTTAAATTCTGGAGAAAATAATGGAAAAGCTTTTTCAGGGTTCAATTAAAGTAGGCAAAAAACAATATTCATGTCATTCCTAACAGTTTCTTAAAATGTTTGCAAACATATTATACTGGCTTTGAGATTAAGTGCTTGACTGAAAAAAGTAATCCAACAAGTTTAATATATTGTCATTTTAGTGGAAACTTGGTAAACGAGACCAATTAAAAACTTGGTGCTATGCAGTGCCAATAGTATAAATCACACAGCTGACTAACTGCAAAAAGAAAAGAAAACAATCGGTAGGAAATCAAATCTGAGATTATCCTAGGCAAGGTTTTACTAAAGACCACAATACTACTTAGTCAGTAATTAAATCATCTTATTTTATCATCAATCAGTTTTATAAATAGTTGGAGAAAATTTGAACTAAATAAGACAGAGTCTGCAAGCTAGGCAGAGAAGACCAGCTTGTCAAGCAAACAAGATCCAGCTGAACAGTGCCAAATGCAAAATGACACAAAACGCTGAAGGAAACCAGGTCATCCCTGCAGAGCGATAGGAGACCACATCAGAAGCAGAAGTAGCAACTGATGGGAAGCAGCTAACAAGTGACTCAGTGCTCCCTGGCATACAATGCTGGCATAGAAAGGATTATCATATATTTTTTTTTAAACATGCAAACAGGGAAGGGCAGAGACCGTCAGTCTTCTGGTCTGACCTTGGGATACTGACCATAGATCTAGAATCCACATTTTAACAGGGTTGGAAAACCGGAGATGATGAAAAAATATCAGAAGTTATTTCATGGGCTGGAGAAGAATACTTAGAAGAAGAGATACAGATCAGTCAAAAATCTCAAGTTATTACAAAAAAAAAAAAGGGCAATTCCTTTCGAAAGACAGACGTATATACTCAAACTAGGAAAGAAATGCATAACCAGAGGCTGAAAACAGAGGCCGAATCTACTGGAAACCACACAGATTTTGGGAAATGTGCATTTGCCCATCAGAACAAACTAACAATCGACACTGGATTTTCTACAGTGTAATTCCCGCAAACCAAGACTGGATATCTTCTGGGAAAGCACATACTAAGGATAATCATAAATCACTATATTAAATGTAGAAATAGCTATTTTTCTAAAAATAATAATTAACAGCCTGAGTTGACAAGACTTTAGACCAAATATTCTAACAACTCCTTCTGGCCTTCAGTTCAACAATCCTTTCACATGACTTTTGCCACTTGGTACGAATGAAGAGATGAACGAAAAGCAAGAACTCCACGTTTTTAAGAACTTCTTGGAGTCTATCATGTTTTGTCATAAGGAATCAAACTCCAAGCAGTTTGTCGTCAGGGTTTCAAAAAGGATGATAATTCAGGAAATACAGGAAACCGGACATAATTAAGACCAAATTAAAAAAAAATTAATAGAAGATTTTGTCTATTGTGCTAAGTAATAAGAGATAATGATTAAACTATTTCCCAAACATCAGAGACATTGGCAAATTTCAGACACGAAAAATTAGACCAAAAAGTTTCTTATTACAGAAATGCACAATCATATTATCCACCCTTATGAAAAAGGAATAATACGGAAATCATTCACAGCCTCCTTTTTAAGAAAAAACAACAAACAAAAAACATAGATGAAACTGTATGTACTCTTGCCCACAAATAAACCCACTAGTGAAACTGTCTAACTTCAAACAGAACTAATATCTTGATCAAGGCAAATATTGTTTCTGACACTGTTTCTAGGAGTTGGTCGGGCTTGGAGCCCTAACAGTATCTCTTCTATAGCCCTCTAATTCTGTTTATTGCCTACCTATTATTGAGTTCCTATTTCAGAAACCATCTAAAAAAGTCTACCTATTTATGAACAAAAGTAAGGGACGCAGTGGATTGGAAAAGAGTATTTACATTTCAGTAAAATAAACTAGTTGCTGTGGTATAATAAATCATGCTTTACAGTGCAATTTTAGCAACTGATAGCTATCTAAACAACCTTAAAAGCCCCATGAAACTCAAATGCAACATTAAGTATTCCATAGCTACGAAGTATAAATCCAAAGCCTTCCTCAAAATCTAAACATCACAGGGTTCAGTATATCAAGCTTTTAAATTACCTACAGTCCTAATTGATGCTCCAAAAATAAGGATTACTAAGCAGGACAGAGCATATACCAACATGCTCTTTTAAGCCTCAAATTTTATACCATCAGCTTAATATATGTATGTATTTTCAAATCCCTTCCCGTCCTATAAACTGTTAAACTTTTCTGGAATTCACAGAGGCATATATAGAGAAAACTACTAAAAATGCGGATTAGAGGCATTTGGTACTCACTTGTCTATCTCAATACCAAGTGGATTAGCTGGACGTAGGGACAAGGGGGGAATCCCTTTGTTCCTATCAGTGCGCATGTCGTAATAGTTCATTTCATCCACCCAGACAGCAGACTGATCCAAGATACCTAGAGAAAACAAAGGACATATCCTTAAAACAACAAGGGCTGGCCAGCACTATCAGCTCCTAACATACTGAATTAATTTGAAAAATCCCAATAAATAGAAAATGCATGCCTAGGTAATATTTTGGAAGACACATGGCAAAACAACCTGGATACAATTATGCTAAATTATTTGATTACAGCTGCTGAAAAGGTATTAATGCCTGGGCAACACACATTGCCTCTTAAATAGCACACTATTCCATGAAAATTAAGAGCACTGTCCTCTTGCTTTTAAACACAATATAACAATATTTTTCATTCCCTCGAGTATTTTGATATCTGTCCACCACATTGTCATCCATTATTTCTGAAACCATCAGTTAGTTGGAGGTCTCCCTATGGGCATATTTTAAGAAAGATCCTTTTCTCTATGGCTCTTAGTAAGCACAAGGTCAGTCAACCTTGGCCATGTGCCAAACGGATGATGCCTTCAAGCTCTTGGAGAACACAGGACTGGCTTTGTCTCCAAAGCCTTAGCACAAACAATGTGCAAAGGTGAAGCACAGTGGTTCTGAGGCCTCAAGAGAGAATCATAGCCAGATACTTGAACATCCCCAGTTTGATACCTTCGGAGAAATTAGGCAGAAGCTCTTAATATAACTTGGGAAAAAATATGTGTTATTTAACTGTCACTGATCAGAGAGAGAACAAAAGCCTAAAATATTTCTTTCTGTGAGAATCCTCATGTTAAAGAAAGCTTCCTGTTCAACTGTATCAATGAGTTATTCCAACAGAGGCATTTTAAATCCAGAGGGTATTTAGATTAGATTCTAGATTAAGCAGAGATCCTAGACTGCTTGGCAACATCACTTAAATGATTAAGCATCACATGAAAAATACTTCAGACTTTACGTCTGACAGGACAGTTTGAATTATAAATAAGAAATGGCACTCAGGACTCAGCATTTTAAAATATATGAACTGTCAGCTCCAGATTTAGGTATAAAGCTCACGAGCTTTTTTATATTTTGTATACATCTAGTACACTTACAAGTAAGATGAACCATTACTGGATCTGTCATCAATTTTTTGAAAATGTTAATACTTCTGCCTAACAATAAAAGGGGCCACTTTTCATTACTCATTGAGAGTTTATCAGAATATTGAGAAAGAAGAATTTAATTCAAACGTAGTACGAATTTATATATATTTTATTGACCTATTCTACTTTTTTTAGATAACTAAAGATTGTCTCCAGGTAGACTCATTTTAAATATACATTTTATTTAAAGAGACACTCAGTCATATACTTGTTTAGCAAAAGAAAAGAACAGATATGGGTTTGAACAAAATACCTATTTTTTCAGGCTTCAGCAGTTTGAAGGAAACAGTTGAAGTTCCTTTGCCACCAGACTTTGTAGTCACAATAATGTCCCCTTTATCATTTTTAGCTTGTCCCACTCGACACACAATTTTGCTTGCAGACATCCATTCAGCAGTTAGCAGACAGTTATGCCCACAGATTGTTAAACCTGAAAGAAAGAATAACCATGAATGAATATTTTTGAAGTGATGTAAGGCAAGTAACGCTTATGTTGTTTCACATACTTCACATGAATATACGACTTCTCCAGTCCCTAACAGCCAAGATGGAGTCAAAGTGTCACAGATACGGGTTTTTCAGATAATCCCTAGCTGACTTCAGGTCTAAAGTCCTATTGCCATTTCATGAGACAAGCTTCAAGCAACACTGCATATATTTCAATCTCTACTATCATTTATGCAGCTACTGTAACTTTTCACAAAACCACAGAATGGTTGACAAGATTTGAAAGGACCTCTGGAGATTCCACCACCTCTCTGGACAAAATGAACAAGTGCTCTATTACCTTCACAGTCAACAAGTTTTTCCTCATACTCTCTCTCTTGTAGCTCCATGTCCCTCTTGTACTGGGAAGCCCAGACCTGCACACAGTTCTCCAGATGCGGCCTCACCAGGGCTGAGAGGAGAGGGGAAAGGCTCACCTCCCTCGAAATGCTGGCAACACTCTTACTAATGCACCCCAGGAAACCACTGACCTTTTTGGCCTATTTTAATTCACGTTGTACAAAATGTCCTCTGTAAGAAATACTTACAAAAGACTTCCACCAAAACTGCAAGCAAAATCTTTGGTAAGTTTATCACGTGATTTTTCATAGCAAAAACTAGAAAAACCTGCAAAACTTTCACAAGAAACTATGTTTGTTCAAGCTTAATTGCTTAATGCCACTTTTCAGTGATACAGAAGAGACTTTTGGCCAAAGTACCACCCCTTCACAAATATTCTGTCCCCTTTTTCCATATTAAAATTCACTATGCAAGAATGATTCTGCTGAATAAACTCCCCTTCCTTCAGCAAAGAACAGCAATGTAATGTTTACTTGTGTCTTCCACTAAACTTTCACACAGCAGAAGAACAAATAACATAGTATGAAATAAAACATACATTTTAGCCATGAAGCACTCTTACAGAATAAAACTATGGCATATTAAACTTAAGAACATCTATTCACACTTAGAGTCAAGCTACATCTTAATATGAGGTCTGAGGCTTTTGAGGCCTCATCTTCTCATCTTTACTCATCCAATTGTGGTTAGATCAGGATTCAGGATGACAGAAGAGATGAGCAGATCTAAAGGGGTAGTTCTCACATTTCTAATTTGAATTCTGTTGTCTCAAAGAATTAGCAAGATTCTAACTTCTATACTAGGAATAGAGAATGGTCAGTCACAGACAATATTTGTAGAACTTCCTTAGGTTGCTCATTTACTTTAAATTAGGTATTCTTACCCTTACCTAGAAACATAAGGCACACTATCCAAAATGGCAAGGCTGTTACTAATGTGTTAGCTGTGCTAGAATTTAAATCCAGCAGGTTTCTTTCTCTATTGGCTTGGCTTTTGTTTTCAATTTCTAGAAAGCTCTGACCAATTTAACAAACACTTTGAGACCGAAAAGGGTCAGCATATATGGCACAGTACCAGAGCTTCACAGTTACTTTTTCTCACAATTTAAATCTCTGACATTACACAGCAGACAAATTTGGCAGTTTTTCATGGTTTTGTCAGACATCTGATTGCCTCATTCCCTGCCAAAACCTATTTTGAAAACGAAAACAACGGTAAAAAAGAACACCCATGAATCTTATTATATTTGAAAGAAATTTTATGTGAGCAAGGACAGTAGGTAGGTTTCTTAAGGGACACCTAAAGAAAAAGAAGACACAAGAAAAAAAGTGTAATATATCAAGAATAGCTTGGTTGTCATTTTAGCTGTTGCAGTTGTTTCTTTGCAACACTTTAACCACAGCGAGACTTATTATTTAGTTTATTTATCAGGGTGTGGGGGAAGAACATTTATGATGCATAGGTTTTAACCTTAGACTTCAGCATCAAGTCACTTTTGGTTTTCTGCTACCAAGTTCTCTGAAGCAAAAACTAACTGCAAGGAATTGTCTGAACCACTCATAGAAACAGACTTTCACTCTAGAATTAGAGAAGTCTGAATTCATGCTTAAATCAAGTTACATTTTAAAATCAAGATTTGAACATGGTAGGTAAGAGGTTACCGAGTAACCATTTTAAAGAACCTTGCATTGATTATTTGTTCTTTATTAGAAGGTTCCTAAAGCTCTCAAGAGAACGAGTTCCTAAGATTCAATACTTCTTAAGCAAAACCACCTTCCTCTATATCTTAAAAATGCAAGAGAAACAAAGTCTCTACGAACATTTTACAAATCTCATTACCTATGATAATGGCACAGGCCGATTTCTGAAACAAGTAATGGCATGTTGGAAAAGATCCTCTGGCATTACCATATTATTTTCGTCACAAAATAAGAAAAACATACTTTAAATAAAGATTTACTTTAATCGGCATTGATCTTTTAAATTTCCATACTGTAGGTCTAGTTTTTAAAGGGTATTTTGGAGGATTTAGGCCTCCAAAAGCACAAGACATTTTCACGAAATTTCATTATTTTTGTCAACCTTATATATTGACAATTTTACGACATCTAAAAGATAAAGATGTGATACCTCATAAGACAAAGCAAACCTTGACAGCATAGATATGCACATATATCCCGAATTTGTCTTTTTGAACAAGTTGCAAATAAAAGTAACTTATTTAGTTTCAAAGGCACACACAGACTACAAGACTCTCCCTTAACAAGATGAAATGAAAAGTATGCTATATGATATTCTATTTATACAAGAAATTGATTTTTGCATTCCATTTTACTCTCATGAGTCTCAACAACAGACTATAAACTCTACAGAATCCTTACTGCAACTCACTCATGTCTCATGCCTTCAAAGAATTACATTTGCAATTATTTCCATTCAAGGCACAGGGACTATTTACATGACTAATTTAACCACAAAAAGAAATCTTTACATGTCTGAGGTCTTCTTCATTTAGTAGAAAAAGTCAAGCTCAAGAAAAGCTCAAAAAGTGAGCTCAAGAAAAAAGAAGACTGTACATTTGTATTTGTATTTATTTATGTTTACCTCAAAATACCTGATTATTAGCAGTCATGTGTGTAAGAGTGTAAGATTTACTCTAAAAAAAATAAATAAATAAATATTAGTAGTCCAGTAGCAGTATCGGGACATAGTTCCGAGATTTTTTCCTAAACAGAACCTAAGACCGTTTCTAGAAGGACTGTATCTATGAGGTACTGAAGATATGAAGCAAACAGCAAACATTTATATACTTAGAAATATATCTACCTGTAACATAATCAGATTTTCATATATTTCTAAATACAGGCCTACAGCAGCCTTGTCTGGTAAAGGAGGTAAATACTATTTCCTCTTTTTACATGCAGCAAACTGAAACGAAGGAAAAAATTGCACTGGGTTGTCCTCAGCCACAAAGTTCGTTGTGGTGGCTAAGAATGGAATTCGGGAATTCTCGTTTACAGTCATGAGGTGAAATGTTGTTTCTAGCAAAGCCAAACAGAATTCCAGTAGACTCTCCAGAGGAGTCATGCACAAGAGACCAGACAAATTGTCTCTAACATGAATACACATATGCTTAGCTTAAAAAATGAATATGGGAAATTGCAGTTCTTATAGTTAACTTGGATTTCAAAAGGTTTTACAAAGTCTTTCTTGAATGGCTTAAGAAAGTTAAGCAGCTAGTGGATATGATAGACAAATAACTGTTTAAAAAATAGCAAACAGAGGTAGAGTAAATGTTTTCTCCCTTTTTTCTGAATCATTTTCCTCAGGGAAGTTCTGACATTCAATATATTTATAAGTAATTAGAAATTAAGGTGAATGAAGAGAAAAAAGAGATAAACTGAGATTCTTCAGCCTCGAAAATTGGCAACTGAGAGCAGTGATGATCAAGATCTATAAAGTCATGAGAATCATTGAGATAATCAATAGCGGAGACCTGCTTATTCCCTCTTCCAATGCAAGAACCATGATGATTCAAATTAAGATACCCATTTAAAAATTACACAGGAGACCACTGGTCACACAATATGTAGCTAAATTTTGTTCTTCTTGTCCTAGACTGCTGAAGACACACTAATTGAATTTTGCACTAATACAAGTAATAGCAATGCTCAGAGACTCTCTCAGCATAGTGAAAACACTTGACTGGGAAGTTTTCAAGCTGAAAATTCTCCACATGTGTTGTAAAGAAGGAGTGAATCACAAGCCCAAGCCTTCCTTGGATGCTCACATAGGCATTTGTTCCTGCCTGGTGTTCAGTACAGGGGGTTGAGTCAGACTAGCCCATTTAGCAAAGAATGGCCATTCTCGAATTATGGACACAAGGGCATGTTTGTGAAAAATGGCATTTCTCAAACCATACGACAGATTTTACAACGTTAATTGCTAAGAATACAAGTGTTAGCACATCCCAAAGGCTGCGTTCTACAATCTTAAAAAAAGCTGACACTTTTATTTCCCTCCTCTCTCCAACTTACCTATGAGGTCTGCAGGCCCAGTTCCCAAGTTTTCTCCTCTGATTGTCACTTTTGTCCATGAGATGCCCTCATTGGGAGAGATGCCAGTAACAAGTGGGGGCTGCCGTGCTCGAGACATGATGTCTTTCTTCAGTTGTTATTCACCTGTTTGGAAAGAAACAATCATTTGAAACCAAAAATTACATTGTGCAAAAATTATTTTTAAAAAGTTTTTATAAAATGATAAAGCAAAAATATGAGTGCAGATAGGAAACAGTACTCTCAAAGCTTTATCCCTACATATTGACCAAACAATGTAATACCTATATCTTTCTGTAAAAGGAAAAATGTCCTGTAAAATTTCTTTCACAACGCTTAATGAAACAATATACATATTCCGAATCACTGATATCAGAACTCAAATGGGCCTGTTGCTCAGTCCTCTACTAGAAATTTACTGTGGTGTTGTTTAGAAAATTTGGAATTGCTAAGCTAGGTAAGGGGCTGTGATTATACATCTGGACTAACACCACATCGAAAGGCGTCTGACTGGCACATATGTTCCCAATGGTGGGAATCCCCATATAGATTGTATAAAGCATCAGTGTTTATACAAGCTGAAAAAGCAAAACAACAGACACTACACTAACAAAGTATATTAATAAAAGAAATAATATCCCAACAGATCAACATAAACGTACACAAAAATATTGAAGAATTGATTCTACTGAGTTTCATTCTGTGTATGAAGCTAGAAGGCCATTCAAACCCGTTTATCTCTACAAAAGAAACACCCATATGGCACTCGTGCCCGCGGCCCTATGTTCAGGTCTCTGTGCAACAG